GTGGTGTGGAGGGCTCTGTGAATTTTCTGCAAGTAGAGAATAAAACAAAAAACATAAGAAAACTACTGCTTAGCAATGTGAAATGTGTTATCACGTCATCATCTATGAAATATATCAGGAGAGACGATGAATCTGAATGTCTAAGAGTCAGTACTCTACCCAGAGCGTTTGTGAAACCAACTGTACTCCTCACAAATCCTGCTGTGCGCTCCATGAGTAATGTAAGGAAGTAGTTGTAATGCAGTGACAGACACTCTGCTGCTTAAAACTTCGAGAGCTGTTACGGTATTAGTTGCTTAAGCTGCTTTTGATTTAGATACCCAAGCGTTCTGGTTAGACTGAAAGAAAAAAAAAAAAGAATTAAGTTATACGGTTTGACTTTGATTCAAATTTTCCCGGTGTACATATATCTGAGGGAAAGGGGACTTTTACTCTAGATAGGGATTATCTTGAGGGACGAAAGCAGATGTCATCCTCTCAGATAGCTGAGCTGGTTTTGTGATGAATGCTAGAGGCTGCCCAGGAGTGGTTGCCCTTTTAGAGGGATGCAGCAAACAAATACGAACAGTCTTAATATTCACACTGCTTGTTCCATTATTCACTCAAAAATATTGCCACTGGCACCTCATTTACTAATGACTAGCCTTTCATGAAAAACAAAATATGACCTTTAAAATCCCAATTTGTGATTCCTTGGGTGTATGTTGTCCTACACTGCATCCTTTTGTAATTTAAAGCCGTTACAAAAGAATGTTCATGTTAAATAAAGCATATTGCTAACTTATTTTTCACATAGTATAAAAGTTGTAAGACAGAAATGTGAATAAAAAGGTGCTTTTAATGATCTGTGTAATCAACCCCCTCAGAACAGAAAAAGCAATAACATGTGGTCGTGAACAAATAAATAAATCACTCTAAATGAAGTTTTTGCTTAATTAACTAATTTAAAATGTTCATTTATAGAGCCCAATTAAAGCACCCATTAGCTAAAGAACAGAGTAGTGCATTAGCATTAATTAAGACATTTAGCACAACTTAAATCTAAACAATTTAATTTAAATATATATTATAATAAAAATGTCCTGTCTTCATTGTTATTATGAATTTCCAACAGTAGAGGGCGCAGGTTACCTGTATGAAAAGAATTAACTCCAGGAGGGTGAGGGCAACTCACCAGCAGCTGTATGCTGGTGTGTGCGACTGTGCTCACGTGTGTCAGTCTGAGTGTGTGCTTAAATATTACAGCCTTTATGAGAGCATGTGCATGTATCCATGCCAATGCACATACGATACATGTTTACTCACCTGGCTGGTGTGGAGCCAGTACTGCAGCGTGTGCGTGCGCCGGAGGCGAGGGATAACCAGGTGATAGAAGGTGTGTTCACCTGCCAAGGTCAGCAAGGCTCCGCCCACTCCTATACACAGCAGCACAAACAGGCCTGAAAAATGCTGGATCCCCATCTGTAAAGTCTGAGGAGGCGGTGGTAGAAAGAGGTTGGGGGAGTGACACAGATTAGTAAAGACTTAAGCTGACAGAGAGTAAAATACAGAGACTGATGATTTGTATTTACATAATTATCATTCGCGCCATTTTTTTTTTGTGAATATGCAACTGATGCTGCTGTTGTATGTATAGTTTGGCAGTGAAAACCCATAAGAATAGGAATAAAGTGACGACAGAGAAACAGCATGAAAGACATTATTGAGGAAGAAAAAGCCGTGGAGAAGACAACGGGCATTTAGAGCCGAGGAGAGAAGCAAAACAGAAAGTAATAGAAAGAAACCGCAGTTAGCAGGGAGATTTTAAAAAGAGACCATGGTTAAATGAAGAGCAGTTTGTTCCGAATTGGTTCACCCGCGTACATAATGTCTGTCTCTTATGAGGCTTTCATGAGCCTGGATGAAGTAGAAGAGGCAGCTGAGAGCTACTCCAATGTTCTCTAATCAGGTTTCCTTCATCCTGCTCGTTTCTGCACCGCCTCTGATGGCAATTAGCCCCATGCTGACTCAACAAATTCATCAGCGACAAGACTGACCTCCTTTTGCTCCCAATCCAGAGGGCATGATAGCCTTTACACTGTGTGCGAGTTGCCCACCGTCCAGGCTTCAAATGGACTCAACAGTAATAACTTCTTGAGGATGATGTTAAGGTTTTCATTTCACCAGATGAACCTATGACTGTGTGATTGTGTCTGCTGCTATAATGTGACTCGACTCTGGAGTGGGATCCAAAAGTTTCTCTGTTCACAAACAGACATACATCATACAGACATGGGGCTCTGTCTAGAGATTCACATTTCCTTACAAAAAGTGAAACAACAGAGTACTCTTCTATAGCACACACAAGACACAAACAAGTATTGACACCCAGACAGCACATGCTTGTACTGCAACTCTGGTTAGGGTCAGTAAACAGGTCTGAGCGTATGTAATTGTATGTCTTTGTGTATGTGTGCTTAGCTGACAGGCGATCCTGGCCGAGTCCCAGAAGGAGAATCATTTACAGGAGTACAGCAGCAGAAGGCTTTGTTTTACACACAATTCACATACACAGTACACG